ATCTTTTGTACCGCTGTTACATATTACTTTTTAATTGTTTGGATCGGAGCCAAAAAGAATTTTACATGTACTTGTGTACGTTCTGTACGCAAATTGTATGTACACAGTATATTTTTATACATCAAACGATATATACATAGGTAATACATGTTTGTTTAGGAGTTCATTTACATTTGAAGTTGTTAAACGTAATTTGTTAACAGTGATTTATTGTACATGTTAAATTAAATAATGAATATTACATTTTTAAATTTCGAATCAAGGACTTTGAAAAGAGGTGGACATGATGTCAATTAGAAACGATTGGAGCACCAAAATGTCAGTGGGTAAGTATGTATATATGTGTGCGTGTGTAATGGGTTACCACGTTACCAGACGTAGGAGACCTATGGAGTTTCTTGCTCGTTCTTCTCCATAGGAATCTACACCTTGGAATGAGCAAATAGCTTCACTTTTAAATTTCTGTTGAAAAGTGCCTTCCTGGTCTAATTGAAATAAATGATTTTGTCTTTGACTTTGACTTAGTAAAATGACAGATGTCCTTCGTGTCAATGTGTGTATGTTCTGCGTGTAAGTGTATAGTAGCCAGGTGCCACAGTCGTTGGTTCAAGAGACTGTGTCCGACTTCTTTTCAACGTCTTTGTTGATAATGTGCAAATACTCAAACGTCACACTATTTTTAAGACGCGCTTAACTAAGTATAGTTCTGTCACTACAATTTCTTTGGAAAATGATAGAGATGCCACGATATTTAAGTACAATTTTAAATTTAGTAGTCTTTCAGTATTCGGGCTTGAGAATTTACTTAAATAGGTTAAATACGTACGACATTAAGTACTAGTAAAAAAGATAAGTATTATTAGTTTTATTCTAGACAAAACTCGCACCTAATACTGTCAAAATAAATATCAAATTACTCTCATACATGTATTCACACACACATTCTCGTCGAGTTTTAATATTTATAGCAAAAAAAAAAACAAATGGGACATGCTTCCAAAAACCTAAGCTGATTAATAGTTATTTAATTCACATCTAAACAGCTAAGTTCCGTTCCAAAACTTGGAACACCAACATTCTTATATTCTTCATATTATACTCTTACTAAAAAAAAACAGTTTTTTCTTTGTCCAAGTTATTTTATTTAAGAAATCCCCATCCTTCACTCACTGTGGTCATTTGCACGGACCATTCCCACGACCTCACGCTATTGTTTTTGAAAATACCAAAAAATTTTACAACTCGAAATTTGATTTTTCAATTTTTTGTGACCCATGGGTGCATGGGGCATCTGCTCAACATATGCAACCACTAAATCGATGGTTTAAGGGGCTTGCAAAAAGAAATAGTGATGTGAAAGTTAGTGTAGCGATATTATTTTAAGATACTTACCTATCTTGAATTTTTCCTCATGATGTTTAGTATGCTGTGAATTATGTTTTATGTCACTTAGATTATAATATTAAATGGTGATTACTTTAAATGTAAAAAAATTTAAAAAATATTTAATTTTAACCTTCTGTTTTTAGATGTTGTTTATCAAAACACCACAACAAATGTTGATATTAGGCGTTGATTATTAATCGTTGCGATTACAAAATTAATTTATCGATATCGATAAAAAATAACCCTCAAATTCCCCATCACTGGTCCAAGCAATAATTCACAGGCCACAAATCTGGTTGGCTGTTAAAATATCAGACCGTACCACTTGCGAAACAAAGCGACGTTACATTGTAAATGTAAAATTGTAGTATCCATATATTTGTATTAAACTTACAATCAGTGTTGTATTTTAAAAATAGAACGTCTCAGTAAGTCCTTATTTTATTCTTCAAGTAATAAAAGGTCATGGATTTATTTTAGTGTTCATTTTTAGACTACTCTGGCTTCATTGTCCCCCTATACTTATTATACTCTTTGTCATTGTCTCAGGGTGAGACTGTGTCATGAAACGTAAGTTTGGTTTTCGAATCGACATTTTTTTTTAGACTTTCTATTTAGTATTATGGAGGCAGATTGTATCCAGGATTAGATTTTTTTTTTAAATGGACGTTCCCTCACTCTAGGATTTTTTCCTGTGTCGTGGGTGCGTTTACAAACATACAAGTTCACATACATATGATACTTAGACCCGGAACCACAATCTATGAATTACACAAAGAGTTGTTGGGGTTGCGGGAATCGAAACCGCGACAAGTTGCGCGGCAGTCAATTGCCCAACCACGGCGCCAACCGTGCAGTTGATTTTGTGAGAGGTTAAAATAGCAGTTATGGGACAAAATAACGTAACCGGTCTATGGTAACTTAGATGTTATTCATAAAATACACACATAAAACAGTATGGGAGAGTCATGCTTCGGCACGAATGGGCCGGCTCGACCGGAGTGAGTGCTACCACGGCCTCATAGAAGACCAACGTGAAGCAACGCTTGCGTTGTGTTTCGTCGTCTAAGTGAGGTAACCGGAGGCCTAATTACCCTCCCCTTCCCCAATCTCCCCAATCCCTAAATCCCCAACGATCCTCAAACTCCTAATCCCCAAAAGGCCGGTAACGCACTTGTAACGCCTCTGGTGTTTCAGGTGTCTATGGGCGACGCCGATTGCTTACCATCAGGTGATCCGTCTGCATGTTTACCAGTTTATGCCATAAAAAATAAATAAATAAATATAATTTCAGGACTCTAAGGACCTCTCATTCTAATCCTATCTTTTCGATTATTAACACATTTGTATCCAAATGTAGGAAGGGTATTCTTTGTATAAATTTTGTACGTCCAAGTTCTATCTTTAATAACAGACACGCCATATCAAAATTATGAAAATATCTGTAATTTCATCACTATCTAGGTGTGACTATCATGTCCATATAAATATTCTGTTTTATTTACGTCCCGTACACGTAAAACTTGCCATTCTCAGTACACTAGTGATGCGTAACCCACTAAATCAAACTGTACTCGACAATGTGTAAATAAAAATTAAACAGTCGTTCTTTTGTGTCCCTGTTTTAGTGTATATACGTCAGTGTTGACTCACTACACTACAAAGTGACGTTAAGAATTGAGTCAGTGGTGTATAGATATAAGAAATGTTGTTTTTTTTTAGGTTACTGAAAGATAGCTGTAATGACTCGATAAAGGGTGCTATTGGGTATGAACATAAGGTTACTTTAATATGCTAATTTGTGCGTCTTTTATTCTAGTTATTTGCAAATTAATTTGCAGTGTTCCTAGCAAGATTCGGCTGAATTTCACACACGTTGAAAACGATTTTGGTTTTGGAAAAGATTTGTTTTATAATTCCTTTGTTTGAATTTGATGCCCGTACTTACAGAAAATTAAAATGTTGGTCATACAAGAAAAATTTCAATGTACGGAAACATATTTTTATTTCTTACAATTCTTTGAACATTGTAAAGTGATACATACACAACAATTATTTAGAGGATATGCGTCATAACTCAAAATGACCTTCGATTTCCTCTGGCGTTTACCCAAGTAGGTTATGATTATGATTGAATTGACACCTCGTATATTTTGCGAGAAGATTTGTATACATATATGTATTTTGTATAATACATTTCACAAAAACAATTAAAAACTGAATTAGGTGCTCGAATTTTAGCACCAAACATAAAATAATAAATCATGTTCAAAACCCTTACAAAATCTTAATGTAGCAACCCTATTTTATTAACCCTAAACTGCAGAGCGAAAGTTGAAGTCATTACAATAAAAGTGCTCAAAATAAAATCCGAACGCGTCAATGCTCATTAAAATCACGTTTGAGTTTAAAAATAGAACTCTGCACGCAGGACACCTGAACACAATAAATCCTACTTGCATATTATTTTAACGCGGCCAAGTGTTGCAAATGGATTTTCTGTATTTCGCTGTGAATATTGCTGGGGACTGGGGATATTATATTTTTTTAATCTGGCTACATTTTAATTATTTTGCAAACATTGTTGAGAAAGTAATACAATTTACAATAGAGAAAGTATTACAACCTATCAGTAATACAATTTACATGATGTTTTTGTAAATTGATTCTTTAGTTGTGTCACATAGAAAAAATAACGGTAAATAAGATTTTATAATACACTTCTCACTTGCAAAATCTGACTCAGATTTAATAAAACCTTTTCGCATTTCATCTATAGAAACATCTAAAAATAAAATAAAATTGATTGCTATCAATAAGAGCTTAAATATGGTAAATAATATGCTTTATAAAAAAATATGTTCGCAAGTACAAACAGCGGCGCCGCTTTACACTACAAATACATCACTGTCAAGCTTAATAAATTTCAAATAAGCCTTTAACATAAACAAACACAATAAATCAGCGTTTATTGTTAACAAAAGTCAATGATATTCATTTAATCGACATTTTAAGGGCAGTGTACATTTTTTAAAATAATAAATTTAAACACGATTTGTTTTTTAAATTTGCAACGGTCTTATTGACATTCAGCAGGCGTTGAAGGGTTTGGTTTATGATCTGAGAACAGTGCGCTAAAGGGTTACTTTATTCTCGTTATTTTATGGTGTTTGTTTGTTAAATGTAATCGTGAGCTGTTGTAGGGTTATGCGCAAAGTTTGAATTTGTATTATAGTTCGTTTTTAGTATCATGCAAATTATTAGTTGTGGGAGAGCCATGCTTCAGCCCGAATGGGCCGGCTCGACCGGAGTAATACCACGACCTCACAGAAAACAACGCTTGTGTTGTGTTTCGTCGTGTGAAGGAGGTTACCGGAGCCCTAAATATCCCCCTTGCCATTCCCTGAATCCCAAGAATCCACAAAAGGCCAGTAACGCACTTGTAACGTTTCTGGTATTCCAGGTGTCCATTGGCGACGCTGATTGCTTACTATGAGGCATTATACGTTTTCAGTATCTTACATTCATGGCGATCCATAAAGGCGATGCGAAAGGGCATACTTTGGAGGGTGAACAAGGGCACTTACCCTTTTTGCTATCTAATTTCTTTCTTAATCTTGTTACAGATAAAGACTACACACGCGTAGAAGTTGCAGTAAACGAGCGGTTACGACTGATGTGTGGCATGAAACCCAGCATTGAAAAGTCATCAGTGCTGTGGTACAAAGATGGCGTCCTCGTTGATAGCCAGAGGAGCAGATACGTGCAGCAGAAACAATGGTATGTTGTATATTCATTAATTTATTACACATGACATAATGTAACAGGACATTAATATGGTAATACTGAACGGAGAACCTAACGCAACATAACATCATGTGTCGAAGTGCACATTATGGCACTTAATGCCACTGTACAATGTAACACCCACTTTTCACTATTTATGTTATGAGTCCCATGCAATAGATGGTGAGTCTATTGCTGAACCTAACGCATTACCTATAATTAATTTATTGGATTAAGAGATAGAAGTTTTCAAAAAGAAAATGTGACTAACTTAGTTAACTGAGACCATCTCGTTGGCTGAACGGTTGCAAGCGTAACTGCAGAGCAAGAGGTATTGGATGACTTACCTATAGATTAGGACAAGGTCCATTTCTCCCTACCCAATCTCCTCAAATCCCGAATTCCCAACAATACTCAAATTCCTAATCCCTAAAAGGCCGGTAACGCACTTGTAACGCCTCTGGTGTTTCGGTGTCCATGGACGGCGTCGAATTACCATCAGGAGATCCGTCGGTTCGCTCGCTGCTTTTAATAATATAAATAAAATCAGCAAAATTAACATATAACATAATAAAACACAATGCAACAAACAAAATAACGTAACAATTAACAGACCAAGTTCGCCCCAACATAATCTGAAGTTCGAACTAAATCAATAAACATGGAATTTCACGAATCACACAGAAATAGACCCGATAGAAACGGACGATGTATCGTGTAACAATATTTACTGAAAACACCAACACAGCCAGTAATGCAGCTAGAGTTATGTGATGCTATTTGAATCGCCTCAAAACATAGCTTCGATCAAATCTTATGTTATACTAGGTATAAGTAACTATATTTCACCCGCAGCTATGCACGCATTAATTGTGCAAAAGTCTTTCTTCATACTCTTAACTATAATATACTAGCTTTTACCCGCGGCTTCGCTCGCGTCACAAAAAGATAAAAAGTAGCCTGTGACATACATACCAATACACACAGCGCCATCTGTATCAATACTTTTATTTTCCCTCGGGAATATCAAATTTTTTCGGGATAAAAAGTACCCTATTATTTAATCTGAACTTCTAACTTTACGTCTGCAAAAATTCAAAGCAATCGGTTTAGTAGTTACGGCGTGAAAGCGGAACAAACAAACAAACTCACTTTGAGATTTATAATATTTGTAAGGATACACTTGGTAGGTATAATAACTTTGAAACTATGTCAACTGAATCAAAAATGCGAAAGTAAAGCCAAGGATACAAATGGGACAAATGTCAAACGCCATGTATCCGCGACAAGTCAAGCGAAGATTGCCGATTTTGCCCGACATATTATAAGGCGAGAACGCGCGCATTATGTCCACAGCGACGTTGATATTGTCAGACATGTCGACCAAAATCTGGCAACGTTGCGCTACTCCACCCAACGTCGCTGGCGACACGTGTCGTACGACATTTGTTCCCGAGTGTATCCTTGGCTTAATGATTGGTGAAGTAGCGACATAGGGTACTTTATATGTCGTAAAATGGTAGGTAATATTCGGAAATCGCGGGTAAAATGGATTCATTAGAAAACCCCTACTTCCAAAGCCGCTTTGTCGTTTTTTATTTCTCTGCTTGTAGGTATATGAAACATAATTTTATTTAATGACGAGGAAATCCGCGTCTTATTTTCTGTTTCACCGGTCATTGACCTAAAATTTTTAAATCAGTGCAGACAAATGATGAAGTCTGGAATGTGCCAAAAAACAGTATAAATGCAAGTCGGAAATACATATCAAGGGTTACGTATTCATAAAAAATATACTCTTGTTGCAAATAAGGACAATACTCTTGTTGTGAATAAGGACTCCCATAAAAAATTGCTCTTAAATATATAAATAGTAGAAATACATCATTACTTTATGCAAATTTCAAAAAAATTCTAACTGTCACGGATAATGTGTTACAGCCTCGGGAAGCAAACACAGACGAATTGACAGAAAGGTCTTAGTTATAAGGTCTTGAGACCTTGAGAGTAATAACTCTTCAGATACGGGACCCTAAAAACGATATTAGCCAACAATTGAAAGAAAATTAAGCCAACATTTCTTCAGTAATTTGAACCAAATTTCGTTTCTTTACATTCTTTGCCAAAATTCGTTGTAAAAGTATTTTCGTCTTGATGCTTGCTGCGTATTTGGCGTGGCGCGAAACTCTCGTAAAATATATGACGTTAGTCAGTTATCTTCTGGTTAAATTATCGCATTGATGTCAGTGACTTAGCTTTAGGTTACAACTGTTTGAAGTAAGTCGTGTAATTTTCGGAGTTTCTTCTTCAGGGTCATTTTGTGTACCCACGATTATACGATTAACTATCGCACTGTCCGAATCATTGAATGATTACTTAAACTATTATTTAGTAATGATTTTTTTTTTCAAAAAGAGTTCAGTTAAGTAACCAATAAATAACTCTGATCTAACTCTTTGGCAGTAAGATATAAGAAAAACGCACTAATATCTGGAATTGATAGTGCATTTGTTAAACTTTTACTTTTTATTCTTAAGAGAAGTATTTTATAAATTTCACTTCATTTAGAGTTATCGTGGCGGCCCGGAGGTTTAACCCGTCGAGCATCCGCTTTCCTTATGATCCAACGGGTGCACACGTGACATTTGGAGAAAGAACGAAAGAAATAAAATGCATTTATTTGGCCATTGGCACACGAAAACAAGGATCATTACAATAGAAATAAAAATACAGTCAAAATAAAAACAAAACATTAATAATAGATTTTATAAAAGAGAAAGCAGCATGGAGCATTTTTTCTTATGATCCACCGGGTGCTCAAAAGGACGCTCGAGGGGTTAAGACTATCTTAAGCCCGCTTCTCATACATGAGAGTACGGGTTTGAAACCTACCAACGGCAGTATGCAGCCTACCAATGGCAGTGGAATAAAAGAAACCGGGTAGCAGAGTTCTCTGATAAAGCTGAACTTATAAACTGCTTTTATATTTGTTCACCCCCTATTACATGAAGTCAGAACATAAATAGTGAAAAGTGGGTGTTACATTGTACAGTGGTATAATGGACACCTCTGCCTACCCCTTCGGGGATAAAAGGCGTGATGTTATGTTATGTTAATTATTTGTTTTTGGTTTCAGGTTAAGAATAAAGTCATTCAGACCCAAAGATGTAGGCGTATATTCATGCAAGGTCGACAATGATGATGCCAAAGAATTATCTCTTATGATCAACCAAAAGCCGTCTCAAGATTTTGAAGGTAAGTTACAATTTTGTTGATAACAGACTGATGATGGAGAGATGATAGTTGTCGTGGTGGGCCGGAGATTTAAGACGCCCACTTCTCATGCATGAGGGTTCGAAACCTATCAACAGCACGTACCAATGGGACCTTTTCCAAGTTATATGTGCTTTCTAAGATTATTTAGACACCACTGACAGACGGTGAAGGAAAACGTCGTAAGGTAATCTGGGCTTATAATTTGTAATGATAAGTTTGAAATCGCCAACCCACATTGAGCGAGTGTGGTGATTAAGGGTTAAAACCTTATCCGTGTTAGAAGAGGCTTTTGGTCAGTAGAGGCCACTTATAGGGTGTTGCGATGATGATGATGGAGATGGTGATGTTGATAATAATTGTGATAAACAACAAAAAAGAACAAACGTGTAATGTTCTCGTATTTGTTTGCTTCATACTTTCATTTGATTCGTTTGTGTCCAAACACAAATCACAATTAAATTATCTGACTGAACAATTAAAATTAATTGCCTTTTCAATTAATCTTGTTACGGGTTATCTGGAAATTGTAAACTGGGTTAATTTAGATTTAAAATTCAGTACCTAATCATGGTAAATTGATACAACGATTGATTGATGCATCATCAACGAAATACAGAAAAGTAGAAGACATTATAGATGGTTTAGTAGATAGAAATAAAATGGAACAAGGAAACAGGATTCAAGAGAAACCATTTCATACCCACACAAATATAAAACTTACTAAGAAAATTTTCCACGAAATTTGCAATCTCATAGCGCAATCTGTAAGCCATAAACTGATTTGTGTAACAAAATCTTCAATGTTAAAAGCGCAACTTGGAACTGAAAACATCACAGTACCAATGTCTTTGGCCTGTTCGCTCGTGGTTATTTCAATATAATATTTTATTAGCTTCTTTATTGGTCGTGCAGATGTGTAAACAGTGAGAAACGGATTCCGGGGTTGCAATATCTTGCACTGAAATGTACACAGCATTCACATTTTAAAATACTTTCGTTTTTTCGACATGTTGCACTTAAATTTTGATCGAAATATGTGTGTGTACAGCGGTTTCCTGTCGTGTTTGGAATCTGTTTAAGAGTTTAATATTAGTCTTGATCTCGTTTTTTGAACAGACGTGTTTCAGAATTTTACATAACGTGACACTGATTTTCATTATGTCCTGTTCAAAGAAACTGATGTCAATTTGCATAGAAGTACAAGTAAATTATTATAAGGTTATACTAACGACAAAATTCCTATACCAGGTTTCCAAGCAGATATGGGACAAACATTACTTCCAGAAAGCCTATCACAAATCAGAACAGCAGCTTTAGTGGATAACAATACACTAGAAGAAAACACAACGGACAGCAAACGATATGGTAAAGACGATGATCCTGATGAAAAAGGGGAAAAAGATCATCCAAATTATGGTCATATAGATGAAAAACAGGAATATTTCCCTCCCCGGTTCAAGCATCCCACGAAATTATATTACATGGACATGAAACCTGCAGGGAACTCCATACGAATCCGATGCGCTGCAGAAGGTAGTAAATATTTTTATTAGTTTCTGGATATTTTAGGGATTATAACTTGCTTTACCTACACTGTTTTTATTTATAGTGATGTGTTTAGATTCATAATTTGGATACAGTGTATAGTTTATGTTATGATGTTTTTCTATGAAGCTCTTATTGTTTCTTTATTATTAGAAGTATCTGTTTTAAGACTTGAATAGTCCTTGACTAGAATGGACTGCTGAGCATAATAAACACTTAAGACAGCTTCCAAAATGTTTTCCTACTATCTTAACTTTGCGTATAGGATATAATAGTAGCAAAAATAGATTTGTATATAAAAACGATGTTATGCGAAACACATGATTATTTTAAAGTAGCAAAGTAAACAACGCTCGTCCCCAAACAGTCTGCATCTCTATTTAGCTCCACAGACTTAAATGCAGCCACACAGAAATAGTCAGAAGCATGTTTATTACATCGTAAAACATTTGCAGGGAACCCTACGCCGAACATAACTTGGTACAAGAACCGAAGTACACCGATATCTAGGATGTTCTTCCAGCCATCTTATGGAAAGTGGTCGATGAGTATGGAAGAATTAACGAAAGCTGATAATGGAAACTATACTTGCGTCGTTTGTAATATTCTCGGCTGCATCGAGCATACTCTTGCTCTGCACGTTCAAGGTAAGATCTTTTGCTACCTTAGCTTCAAATTATCCTTAATCAACTTCTATGAAAAGAAAACCAAAGAGATTTCCGATAAAACAATATCTGTTAGAGAGAGACGGTCGTGTAAGCTAGCTAGTTGTATCAACACGAAGTTAGCTGTAAAAGACAATAATCGCAATGATATGACCATTACTTTCCTTTACAAATCATATCAGAGACTTTGATTTCAACATTGTGATCGTATTCTATATTTATACTTCTATTTTGTTATCGTGTTTCTCTTTTCCAATACCTGGCTATCTCTTGTAGAGCGTTACCCATCAAAACCTTACATAAAGGAAAGGTATCCTGGTAACGTCACGGTGTTGGTGAACGAGACAGCGACCCTCTCCTGTCCACCGGTTTCTGATCTGGAACCGTATTTGTACTGGATCCGACCCACGAATTATACGGTACACGATGCCGAAGTTGGGCCAAGCGACATGCCGATACCATTCGGAGATGTTATAGAGGTCTTTAAATTACGTTTTTATCACGGTGCTGGTCCTATGGTCACATGGTTTTGGATCACTTTATGTGGATAAAGTTATATTTTTTGTATAAATCTATAGGATTTGACGAAGGTTATTTTATGTGGCTTTGTTGTTTCTTTCTTCATCTATCATTCTTGTAATTAAACTGTTTCTTTATTCTATCATAGACTAGGTTGAAAGTGCTGTAACTTTAATTGTTAAACTAAAGGTAATCGGTATTAATTTGGTTACTGGTGATGGTTATAAAATTGGTGATGGTAATTTTAAATTCTGTTTCATTGATTGGTGTTTAAACAATTTCATTTGGTTGGTACAGGATGCTTTTATTGTACTGAACATAATATTCTTTTTTGCAAAGGTCGCATTGCTAACATTAGTATAGTTAGTCTGGTTTAAAGAAGGACATTCGAAACGCTCCAACTATTTGATTCAATACAAATATAAACTTTAAAACGAATAAAATAAAGACTGAAATTCCATTCATAGCTGTTAGTTCGCTTCGAAGTGTTGCGATTCCAACTCTGTTATTTTAGTTCATTGTTTTTTAGAGAGAAAGAATGTTTATGGAATTTTGCTCCTAATATAGATTTCAGTAAAACCATTAACGGTTACTAAGTGAGTCTAAATGTTTTGGAAAGTAAATTTATAGATATAGAACCCTTTTAACAGTTACTTAAACATACAAAATTTTGTAAACAATGTAAAATGATCGTAATTTCTTTATTCACAAAAGCTAATTTACTTAAAAGACTCCAAAAGCTAGAAAAAGACCAAAAGAAAAAACAAAAGACGCTCCAAAGAAGAAGGAGTACGAACACAGGAATCTAACAGCAAATTTTTTTATAGAGCGTCTTTACGCGAAGCCAGTCCTGACGGCTGGGGCTGACAATCAAACGGTGGTGGTTGGGGAAACGGCTCGTTTCAGCTGTCAGTTCCTTACTGACATGCATCCATCAGTCTACTGGATGTACTTTACAAGAAATGAAACCTTCGAGAATGTTACTGTTAACCCAGCCGATGTAACAGTCCAGCAGTCCATGGTGTACTACGACAAAAGTAAAGTTGTCACGGTGAGGGAAATGTCACTAACGCATGGGTTTGCATGTTTGTTTAGATTTAAGTTTTGGTGATGGATTGGGTTTTAAAGTTAAAAATACTCGCGAATCAAGTTCTATCAAACTGGATGACCTTAATGCTCCAAAGATCGTAGTTTATCTGTTTTAGGAGGAGGAAGGTTTTATTGGAAGACCAAGATTTAAATAATAACTGCAGCATGACAAATGAAACTAAATCCTCAAGCGTTTTAATTCCTTATTAAACTGTCAAACACCGAGCGGTCACCGGTGACCGCAACCTATTGTTCTTTAATTGTGTCTATAAATATGGTACTCGACGAGTTAAAGCATGTTTTCTGAATACCTCAATAAAGTGATTGGCATCTAACCACTTACTAACCATTTATTTCAACTTTGCTGACCTTGACGAATATTTCAGAGTGAAAATCCAGAAGACAAGCCAGAACAGCTGACGATATACAATGTAACGAAAGAAGATGAAGGGTGGTACGTCTGTATAGCTCTCAACAGTTTAGGAAACACAACGGCTAAGGGATACTTGACTGTGTTGGAATGTAAGTTATATTAATATGAATATCAATTGCTGTGTGATGATGATATAATAAAATACATTCGTTACCTTAGTACTTGTAGCTTTGAGAAGGGATTAAGGGACTACGTAATGGAGATCAGGCAACAGTCCTCTCTGATAAGCCTGATCCTTCTAAACTCCGATTGCCAACTAGTTGTTGTATCACTGGCAAGGGTAGAAATTATGACAAACCCTTCTTTTGTTGAGGATGTATAGTCGAGTAATAAACTCTCACGAGTCTTTGATATAATTAATTCTTTTAATCAATTACAAGTGCAATGGATGGATACTTTATCTCAAATTTGCATCCCTAATTACACAGAGCAGGTTTTTCAATTTCGAAAATCTCAGTTTGAAGATAACTAGGAGCTTAATATATGCAATTAATTCTGTCTATTGATGCGTTAAATGGGACTCTATCTCAACGCTCGTAGATAGCAACGTCACTAAGATAAATTTTGATATTTGAATACTAATTATTGTCATCTAAATATGAAGATTAAGGACCAAATTCTGAAATAAATAAATTTAGCAATATTTTTATTACCATTTTAATAATTTTGAATTTCCATTTTAGCGCCCCCAGTTCTAGAAGCCCCGGACCATGGAAAGCACACATTACTGATAAACATACTGACAGTGGTGCTAGGAGCCATGTTCTTCGTGGCTGCTATAATAGTGGTAATGATTTGCAAGAAGCTAAAGCGAGAGAAGGAGCAAAAACAGTTAGCTATAGAGACTGCCAGAGCTGTGATAGTGACGCACTGGACGAAGAAGGTCACTGTTGAGAAACCACAGATGAATGGTTCGCCTACTGCTACTGGTGAAGCTTTGGTAAGGAAATTATTAATATTTTACAAAATATTTTTTGATGCATATTATGTCTTGGCCCTTATTATAATATTGACAAAAGGGTCAAAGGATTTTCATAAACATAATTTACAAAGATCGCCTGTGCCTCGTTGAAAATGTTGACGTCGGTCCCGGTTGTCGCGTAAACACTTGTGAGAGTCGTTATAATACCATCATTTTTGAGCTATTGACTACAGTCAAGAACTGACATCCACCACGTGTAGTGTACGCTTAACGAGTGGACAAAAATTAATTACAAATCTCTAATCCACAGCTAATGCCAGTCGTGAAAATCGAGAAGCAGAAGCTGCAACAGGTCCAGAACACGACCAGCGATTCTATGATGATGTCGGAGTACGAGCTACCGATGGACATCGACTGGGAAGTTCCTCGGGACTCCCTGTGTATCGGGAAGGTGCTCGGAGAAGGAGAGTTTGGCAAGGTGGTCAAGGCTGAATGCGTGGGGATATTGAAACCTGGCATGCAGTCTGTGGTAGCTGTTAAGATGTTGAAAGGTGAGATTGCTGGTTTTTGCATAGAAGTAGGATGATAATAAGCATTTTCTTTAAAAAAATCTTCGTTTAATGTACTGTAGGTATCACTTTTTTAGGATGAATTCCTAAATTACTGATAACAAAATGTCTGAATAGTATATGAAATACTGCCATACTCCATGGTGTACTTCAACTTTTTGTTGTAAAAAATTATGATTATTACTTTTCATCTTCGAGGAATAAAATGTCACATTACGTAATGTTATAACATATGATTAAACAAATGTATGGATTAAAAGTATACTTTAATATCGAAGGTACCGAAAAATACCAACGAATATAAATCAATCGTAACACCAATTCTATTCTATCTTCCAGAGGGCCACACAGATGCGGAGATGATGGCCCTAGTCTCAGAGATGGAGATGATGAAGATGATAGGTAAACACGTGAACATCATCAACTTGCTCGGTTGCTGCACACAAGACGGACCACTATACGTCATCGTTGAGTACGCCCCTAACGGAAACTTGAGGGAGTTCCTTCGAAACCATCGACCTGGAAATAGGTAAGAGTTTGGGATATTAGAAAAAAAATATGGCCTAATTAATGAATTGGTCGCAAGTGAGCATTGCCGAGGAAGAAGTAGTTGGTTATTGTTGATGATGATCTTCTATAGATATAAAAGAAAGTCATGTTAGTTACACTATTTATAACTCAAGAACGCCTCAATCGATTTAAATGAAAATTGGCAGGGAGGTAGCTTAGAACCAGGAGACGGACATAGGATTTACATTATACAATACTTTTTTTTACTTTTTATCGAAAATCACGAACGGGAACGGGGGGAAAATGGGATTGCGCGTACGAAGTCGCGGGCAGAAGCTAGTTGCTTGATATGCAGCATTGCAAAAGTCTCATCAGCTTCCATCTCCTACTGCATACAACGCTTGACATAGTTGGTAAAAGTTGATCGAAAATTACTCATAGTCTCTATTGTTAAAATTACAGATACGAGTCCCCAACAGAAGACTTGAAGGAAAAGAAAACGCTAACACAGAAGGATTTAGTTTCATTCTCATATCAAGTTGCGAGAGGAATGGAGTACTTGGCATCTAGACGGGTAAGATAAAGATAATAAATACATTTTAATAATTTTGTTATTATAGGTACCTCTATTTAGCATACCTTTAATAACCTTAACCATGATGTTAATAAAGACTGGCCTTAACCATTAAAACTCGTCTTTTTCTCTTTATCTCGAATCTAGTTTCAGAATTTTAATATCATATAAAACAAATAAACCATTCGTCTAACCCATTCGCTAACACCTTCGTTATTGTTCACGAAATCTTTTGACAATTCCAATTTTACCTTCCGCAGTGTATCCACCGTGACTTGGCAGCGCGTAACGTCCTCGTTTCCGACGACTGCATCCTCAAGATAGCTGACTTCGGTCTGGCTAAGGATGTCCACAGCAACGACTATTACAGGAAAAAGACGGAAGGCAGGCTCCCCGTGCGGTGGATGGCTCCAGAGTCACTTTATCATAAAGTGTTTACTACTCAGACTGATGTGTAAGTTAAACATATTTATTTAGGTATATTTAATACTACCATTGAAAGGCCAAAAGTGTAATTGCTGTTCAAGAGGTTTCGGGTATAATTTATTAGGGTTTTTGGATCCTTAAATTGTCTTTAATAGCACGGCGTCCAGCTTTGTGCCCAGTAGACCTACCCTATTCATTAGACAGTCATAATGTTTTAAACTGGTAAAACGTCCCTATGTCTTTCTCTGTATCCTACTAGGGTTAAAAGGCGTGATGTACCGTTACTTACTTGCTCCTAATATTCTAAAAGTTAGAGGTGTAATGTTCTAAATTTTAAGAAGTTTTCTATATCAATCTATTCTTTAAATTCCAGCTGGTCTTTCGGCGTGCTCCTATGGGAGATAATGACGCTGGGCGGCACGCCGTACCCCACCGTCCCGGGGCAGTACATGTACCAGCACCTCAGCGCAGGACATCGGATGGAGAAACCTCCGTGCTGTAGTCTTGAAATGTAAGTCATTAAGATGATCTTTTTTGTTTGTAATTATGATTCTTCCTCCAGAAAGCACTGTCTTATTTATTGACCACCTCTTTAATATGCATACCCAAAAAGGTTTGCCATAATCTTCAAAGCTTAATAATTAGTAGATCATTAAATTACATCCCTTATAAAAATATTTGGTTTCCTACCGAAAATAACCCTGGTAAATTTTTATGCCAGATTGTCTACTCACCTCAAGCTAATGAACCATCTCCTCGTTTATTCACAGATACATGCTGATGCGTGAATGCTGGTCCTTCTCTCCAGGAGACAGACCCTCGTTTACAGAACTCGTGGAAGACCTTGACAAGATCCTAACAGTCACCGCCAACCAAGAGTACCTGGACCTTGGTCTACCACAATTGGACACTCCACCATCGAGTTACGATGGCTCAGGAGATGAAAGTGATAGTGACTTCCCCTTCATCAAGTAGACTGTAGCAATGAACAGTATTATATATAAGTGTAGTATGATTTCAAATGGGATTTTTAAAAATCTGGACTCGTAAATTAGACTACTAGTCTTGTATATTATGGCTTATAATGGTTTGAACAGAACAGAATACATCGTTTTGGTTTCGTCTTGGGAAAAATAAATTTTAAAATATTGGACAGCGAAGTTGTATGATATATTCAGTGTTTTTTTAAGGCAAAACCAAAAGTTATTTTCTTAGTAATTTACCACTGACTAGAAAACATAAAGAGACCAGCAGCTGTAGCCAAATGCCATTTAGCTCTTGTCTACATGTGTAATAGAAAACCAAATCATATTGAATAGTAACGCCACTTTAGCGCTTGTCTACAGAGTGAGTAGAAATTAAAATGTATGGGGATGACACTGACAAGTGTCAAAATTTACGTCAATTCCATATGATTTGGTTTTCTATTCTACATGTAGACCAGCGCTAAATAGCATTTGACTACAGCTGCAGTTCTCCCTCTAGTAGATCGACAATATCATCAGAGTCATACGGAATCGACGATTCGATAAAACGCTATGAAAATTGAGGTCTTTATGTTCGAAATCTTAAACAGCTTGTCGAAACTGGTAGATTTTTTTTTACTTCTATACAGGACAAAGGCAGAAATCATTTCATCAGATACTGTTCGCTTGGCTTCGCTACTATCAATGATGAACTTAATATTGAACCCACCAATATGAATTGTATTGTATTTGATAATCTATAGGTAGAATATTACAATGAATTTGAGATTATTAGACAAGTCCACGGATCATATTATAAAGTGTTAAATGATATGAGAAATAGAGAAGGAAAGAAAGAAAGAAAATAATCACACGTTAAAAAACAAATGTCATGTACAGATGTGTCATTCTCTTAGTAGGTACTGATGGAGACATCTTTATGTCCCAAGTCTGCAGTAAAATGGGACCAGTTCAGAATATGCTAGACAGGGCCTTGCGCTGGTATTCTACTGGCCCCTTAAGTGACTCGCGGACGAACAAGACACCAATTAAACATCATATGCCGGAATACTGAAACGTTACTCAATTTTAAGTCGTGCTCAAATATCGTGCCATCTCTGTCATTTTACAAAGAATTTGTAGAGATAGAACTATACTTAAGCACGACTTAAAATTGAGTAGCGTTTCAATATTCCGACAATAGACATATCAGTAATACAATATAATAAATCTGTTATACAAACTTGGTCCTTGCTTTCAGTTCCTTCCTATAGGTTGATTTTGAATGGAACGTAATATTTTGGAAGAAGTTGTGTCATGTTGAAAATGAATCTGAAAGAACTAAAGTTATAATGTTTTGACTGAATTTTGGAGTATTTAAAATAACAAAAGGACTCTTTGAGAACAAGGATCCTTTTTTAGGATCATTGAATAGTACGTTTGACTCTCTCTATTTTTATAGATGTAAGAGAAAGATGGAAGTATTCTCAAAAGTATATTTTGAGTTCATTATGGAACTTAGGTTAGATGACCGAATTTGATCCATTGGATTAAATTTTAACCGAAGTCTAAAATTACACGACAATGCGCGATTGCGTGTCGTGACATATTGTATTAAGATATTTTACCTTATTTAGATTACGTATTTATTTAGACATAGGATTATATTTTTACACAAAATGCGAAACAAAGTATTGCATAATATTTGCGTGTAAATATATTTAGGAATACAATTACCTTTGGGGTTTAATGTAAATATTCTAGTACCAAAGTTTGTGTTTTTCTTTTAATGTATTATTATATAATTATTGTGAAGTTTTAAAGCATTTTATGAGGCGATGTTACGGAACACAATTATTGACTAAAAATAACATCTAGTCTATTTTTGAAGGACGGAGAAGAATTTTATGATAAGTATTGTAAGTTTAAAATATTTTTAGGATGTATTACAAAATATAATGGCTGTTACATTGACTTAGGTATTTTTCAAAACAAACATGCAGATAGTGACGTAGACGTAAGATCAAATGTTTAGGATCATTTTCCTACAAAGTCCAGTACTCAGTCATTTCGACTTTTTAGTTTTAAAACCACAGACTATATAGATTTCAAGTCTTTTTATAGGATGCATTTCACCACCAAATCTTTTTTGTACTTAATTATAATTACTATTTTAGTTATTAAACACGTGTACCCAATTAGCAAAAGAAATTATTACGAGATTATTTTTTGTAAATAGTAGATAGGGATTTGATTTAGTTATAGTATGTACGGAAGAATGAGTTTTGGGGTAGGTCAGTCAGTATGATACCCATGTTTTGGGAATTTTTGAAAGTTGTATTGAAGTATTAAAGTAATGGATATTATATTTATTAATTTTATGACATCACCGTTATTGGTATTTTAGATATTTTATATTCATTTATTTATGAACTTTGTATGACTATTTTTATCTGAGTATTGTGCCTTATTATATAATATTTGAATAATGTTCTAGTAAATACTTTGGCGGTCCTTTTATGTATATTTGATGGATGTGTGGGTCAAAATGGAGTTGTAAGAATATGTAATGAAATAAAGATTTATAGTGCGAATGTATTTTTGTATTTTTATTTAACTCGTCGAGTACCGGTTTTATAGACACAATTAAAGAACAATAGGTCGCGGTCACCGGTGACCGCTTGGTGTCTGACAGTTTAATTAAAATACCTAACCTGCTGGTATACCAAAAAATATTTTTTTTATTTTTCGGGTTGGTGTATTCCGCCATAATAATGTGGGTACGCCATACATCTGTATAGAGCCTTTTTAGTTCCATACCTTTGTAAATAGGGAGATGAGCAAATATTGGTGCCACCACTTAACAGGATTACATTTTAAAGGTGCTCCCTCGACGGGAGCATTCACGTGTAATGTAACATTAAAGATTCAACTTTTAACATTAGGTACATTACAATAATACCTCCCTGACTAACGAGCATTTGTGTGTAATGTAACATATTGATTCGACTTTTAACATTACATTACAATAATACCTCCCTGACTAACGAGCATTTGTGTGTAATGTAACATATTGATTCGACTTTGAGCATTTCATAGCAAGATGTCAGATGTCAAGATGTTACAAGTTGTATCAAGATATTACACATTGTATCATTACAAGGTGCGCATTGTAATGCTCGGTTCTCATTCTTCACTGATGTATAATGCTCAGATCTGTAACGTTACATTACACGCGAATGCTACCGGTGACGGTGAAGAAGCACAATTTTGTTACAGCGCCATCTATATTAAAACTCATGAACTTCTTAAATTAGTTCTCAAATGACAGTTACGGTTACCTACCAACCGATGGCTGTAGATTAGGGTTATGTTAAGTGTCAAGTATTTTTACTAGATGGCGTTCGATGGATCATAATTTAAAAAGACAAATTTTGAGATTTTGTCGAGTTTTGTAACACAAAGGACCTTTTAGTATAAGAAAAGTCTTGTACACTATTGTTTTTTCGTGATAGGGGTTGCAAGTGCGTATACTGGAACTGGAGGAAATCAGTCCCAGATCGCTTGAAAATAAAAATCTCGAAAACTAGCCTTTTTTTTTAGGGGGAAAATCATCGAATGACTGCTCCCGCCTGGGTGAGGCGGGAGGGAGTGCCAGACTCTTACTAACTAAAAACCACCCCGTTCCTTCTTCTGCACGTCGAGCCGGAGCCCCGGTTACCCGTTAGGTTCTCCGCGACCTGACTGGTGGATAGGGTGAGAATTTTACGTTTGGTGAACTAGGCCTATTGTCAAAATTTTATGCAATCTTGGGAATTTTTATTAAAGATATATTTGGACACATCTTCAGAAAAAATACAAAATATTCTAACATCTAGGTTCTGTCTAGAACACAAAATGAAATTGTCAAGGTATATAATATAATATTGAATTACTGATAAACTTATTTTCTTAATCAATAGATGGCGCGCTATATTTATTACTATTTGAGATTTTTTGAGTCTATTGACTAAAGTCAACCTTTAATTGTTTTAAGTTCATTCTGTTATTAATTTATTATATTCAGTTTGCATTCAAGTTTCTAAAGTGTGGGAGAGCCATGCTTCGAATGGGCCGTACAGGAGTGATACCACCACGGCCTTACAGAAAACCGACGTGAAACAACGCTTGCGTTGTGTTTCGTCATGTAAGTGAGGTTACCGGAGGCCCAATTACCCTCTCCCCAATCTCCTCAATACCAATCCTTAAATTCCTAATCCCCACAAGGCCGGTAACGCACACGTAACGCCTCTGGTGTTTTGGGTGCCCATGGGCGGCGCCGATTGCTTACCATCCGTCTGCTCATTTACCGGCTAATTCCATAAAACAAAATAGATTTTTCTATGCTCAAATAGATATTAGATAAATAAAAGAATAAGATATATTCATACATTTTTATTTTTGTCAGTACATTATGGCATCGCCTTAAGTTAACATACAAATGTTCATACAAAAATTATGCTAATTAAACGTACACAATTTTTGTTTGAATTACACTATTTATAATTAGTCCTACAATCCTTCATCACTGATCACAAGTCTTTAGGAATCTAGCGAAACTTATACATTTAAAAATAAACATTATAATATTTTGTATTCACATTTAAATAAATCAACAATACAGCGAAACATAATCATAGTCACATATTTTATACAAATAAAAACACAAATCATATTTTTAATAATAATTTTAATCACAAAAAATAAACTTAAATTAATCTAGATTCGTAGATAATACTTATTTATTACATAATTATTTGGTTTTGTTTGTTTGTGCGTTGTTTATGAAAGATAAGTCCTTAAAGATAAATAGTTATAACACATTATTATAATATACCTAATGAAAAATAAGACACAAAATAATAGATAAAATTTCACATATTTATGCTGCCAATTTTAAATTAATGAAAAATGATATTTATAAAATAATTTATGACATTTTATCAACTATAGAACATTTACGTGCATTTTATTATTTATAAGATTATAGTAGGTAATCAAATATACATTATAATATTTGTAGTTTTGTACAAGCAACTTATAAATTGCTTTGAAAATAATTTAATAGAAGTTTAAGGTCAAATTATTTAACATTTAGATTCGATTGTCATAATATTTATTCGATTTAATCAACACAACAGTATTTTCAATCACTATAACAATATTTTATTTAGTAAAGTCCAGCTTTACAAAAAATGACATTTGTTTTACAAATGATAAATAATTTATGATATTTTTTTGTCAAATTATTTCAAAACTTAGGTTTTGATAATAAGCAACGCTATTAGCGTTGTTAAATTAAATTCATTACATTTTTAAGCATTATATTAATAAAAACTGAATTTTATTGCATAGTCAAATAAAAACAAATTTTATTGCAATAAGAGTTTATGCAATAATTAATTACTTAAATGTCAAATTGATTTGGAAATAAAAACGAATTTTAAATGGTTTTCAACCATATTCATGTAACAAAATAAACTATTATATTAGTTTTACAAAAGCAATTCATTTATCACATGTAAAATGTCAATTTCATTACTACCTAGTACCCGATTTGGCTACATCAAGACAAATAGTGATGGCGATCTATGTCAAAAGCGTTAAGTCAAGCGTTTAAACTAATTTTTTGCAGCTGTTCTAAAATATTCATAGCAAAATTTCACTTAAGAGTATTATCATACATAGCGCAGTTAGGCCGATTTAATACGAAATTACGTCAAAAAATGTCAATACATTACAAAATAATGGTCATATCGCAACTATTTACCTCAGTCAACTTCACAACAACGACAATCTTCCTTACAAAGTTACAATTATCCAAATTGTCCATGGCGACTTATATTCATATCACATATTGACACAACGTAATTTCTTCTCTGGAATTCTGGACGCGAACTGGTAGCTGGGCACGACAGCTTTCACTTCTTGCTTCTCCTCCTGAGGTTCCTCACCCATTAGCGTTCTCAAACAGATCTTCATGTCAGAAGCGAACTTTCTGACCAACCTTTCTAAGGAAAAGAGGTGTTCGTCTAACGCTTCGGGGATTTCTTCCCTCATGAAGTCTGCTAGCCTTAAGAGATATTCTGCGTTTGGACCGGATTGTCCATGGCATTCTAGAATTTGTTTTGCTATATCAGGTAAGGGAGCTGCGCCTAACCAATGCTTGTTTTCGGGCACTGCGATGTACAAAAGAGCGTTTTTCTTATCTGTGATACTAAGGGAGGATGATGATGATCCGAATAGGTTGGGGCGAGGGTGGAAGTTGACTGTGTGAGTTCTATAGCCACCGAGTTTGCATTCCCTGGTGGACAGGTAAGGTAAGGCTGCGTTGTCGTCCGCTGATATCAGGAATGCTTTGCCCCAGGTGATGCCCTGGAAAGAAAGAGAAATAGAACGGTTAATATCAAAATTTGAATACGCTTTTTTATTATTGGTTGCAGGATTTACATAAGTAGATATGAGAGGGATTCTTGTTAATTCGTCTCCATATCGACTTCGCTTCGAATAGAGATTTTAATGCATCAAAAATGCCCATATGCATACAGACGAAATAAAATGTTTTAACTTTGTAGTTGCGGAGTATGGATACACAAAAATAAGTAGTTTGAATACAGACAATTATTCCTTTTGGGTCTTAAATATTACTTAGTTAGGATAGTACTCTTGTCATTGTTCGAAGTTGATGCAAAGAACTGCGCAGTAGATAAATAGGTACCAGGCCAGTCAATGAACGACATTAAAAGGCACTCTTTGGACTGGTATCACAGCTATTGTTTTATATGATAACTATTGCCCTTTATCTATCTACTACATATATGAGGGAAATGCATCATGTAACAGGTGTCTCAATTATTTCTATCTCTGCTCATATGAGACTAGTTCGAACCGGAATGTTAGAAAAGTTCAAATCAGTCAATAAAAAAACGAGTTCTGTATCATCGGTTGGTCAAGGACGTTGCGACGAAATATATTATGTGTTTGATGGAATTTTAACGTGATTAGTATTGATGTGCGAATAGTGTGATTAATGGAAAATCTACAAATTATTTAGTTATATGGTTACTGTTAGTGTTTCACAGCTATAATTAATTCATCATTGGCTTGAAGTCCAGTCAAAACCTGGATATTGAGCATCCTTAATTTCAGTTAGAGGATTGGACAATAACAACAAACAGGTTACATAAAACTGATCAGTTATTTTTAGACCAAACCTTTATGTTTATCAAAGCAAATATCAGTCCAGTTATAAATAAAGAATCCGCATTATTATCTTAACGTCTGGCAGAAAAAATATCAAAACAAATCTAGTCATAATCAGCTTAATTAGTCGATAAAGGATCGAACACGACCACTATTCACGCATCATTAGCATGGTCTCGATAACCTAAAGATCCCCGTGTTACGTCAGATATTGCTACCTTCATTTTTATATCAGCCTTATACCAATATTAGCGACCCGCCCCGTCTCCGCACGGGTGCAATATGCATGTATTATACATATAAAACTTACTTAAGAATCATTCTATGAATTAAAAAAACCGCATCAAAATCCGTTGCGTAGTTGATCTAAGCATACATAGGGACAGACAGACGGCGGATAGCTACTTTGCTTTATACTATGTAATGATATAAACCTGAAGAGTTTGTTTGTTTGAACGCGCAATCTCAGTAGCTTCACCTAGTTTCACTGACGGACTGACTGACAGACTATTATTTATTTTGTATTTGTTGACGTTTCAAAAGTACCAAATAATGGTTTAATTGAAATAAATGCTTGACTTTGAACAACTGGTCCGATTTGAATTTATTTGTGTTGAATCGTCGGTTTATCGAAGAAGGCTAGGCTATAAAAAATATCACGCTTTGATCAATAGACGCAGAGCAGAGCGGGTTAATCTGCTAAGTGAATCAAGTAGCTAGTGGAATGATAAAATAAGCACCTGTAGGTAACTACTGTTTGGCACAGATAGTACTTATCGTAACGGAATTTCGTTTCGGAAAATTAAAGTAGGCCTCCAGTTATCGTCACCTTTGCTTTCAACCTGATGTTATCAAGATATGCAGATGAATATGTCAAAATAGATTATTTTGTATGTATAATCTGTTAATCTTTGTTGTCTTTCAATTTGTTGACAGCGATTTTAGTAGCTTCAAGATTACGTGGATTACTATTGTCTGGGTTGCATTACAATGCTGCAGATTTTACTTTTATCTATCCTATATTTATTATTATTTGCCACAATATTTATATCTACTAAAGGTTTTGTGTGTTGCATAATAGCTGCAAAAAGTATAGCTTATGATCTATTTTAACTTTAATACGTAACTTTCTTGTGCCATTTCATTAGTCCTTCAGTAAGACACGTGCACTGATAATCGATTATGATCTAAATAGTAAAATAATGCACCGATAAATAATTCATTTTATCAACGCCATCTCTGTACAGCGTACACAAACACTGAAACAGCGAATATTTCAACAAACCCTGGTATTTGGCATTCATTTCCAAATCGGAACCTCAATTTTGAACGATAGCCAAAAGGAAAAACGTATTTTTAGTATCGAGAATTTTTACACACGATTAAAATTGTATTAGACCGGAATTTGTAGGTGAATAATGAATATAAATTGGTGTGATTCGACTAATCTATTTTCGTTTTGACTGCGTTTGATAACCCTGAAATAGGTCAAGGTTGAATAACTTCATCACACATACAAACACGTGGAAAAACATTGGCTAAAATAATTTGAATAACAAACAATGTGAGTAAGCCAAGAACTTTCGATATCTTTGAATGCTTCAGTATTTTGATCCTTATGACATTAGTGTCATAAAGATCAAAATATCGGACGTTAGCGTTGCTTGTGGTTTTGTTTGGATTCGCAAGGTAATTAAATAATAAAAAAGGAGTTAAAAATATCCAATTCACGTTAAATTTAGATGATAAATATACACAAAATCCTATATACTAAATTACTATGTGAAATTAATGCAGGGTTCAAGGTGAATATGGTTATAAAATTTCAAGTTTTAGACAAAATATTAATAATTTATTAATTACATTGCTGAAGTAATAGAATCAACTGTTATCCGAGTATGAATCAATCGGTCTGTGTAATGTAGGTATTCTTTGGAACTAGAATAAATGCTGAAACTGATATTGAATTTAAAACATATTTCGCTGAGATTTTGATAAAACAACAAGAACGTTAATATATAGAAAGTCATTTGCTTTTGATATACCTAGTTCTATTAAAGAATTTCGGTTATTCTTTCAACTGGACGAATCAGTCAGATTTTTGCATAGGTATATATACATATATCTTTAGCCTGCCTCTTTGGCCGAGTGGTCGCAAGTACGACTGCTGGGCAAGGAGTCTCGGGTTCGATTCCCAGGTCGGGCAAAGTATTACTGGGTTTTTAAAAAAATCTCAGTACCTAGTAGCACGGAGTCTGGAATTGTGCCCGGTGTATGGCAATAGGCTCAACCCTTAATACATGGGACTCATAACATAAATAGTGAAAAGTGGGTGTTACATTGTACAGTGGCATAATGTGCACCTCTGCCTACCCCTTCGGGGATAAAAGGCGTGATGTTATGTTATGTTTAAAAATCTTCTTGCTTAGATACCGTAACTACAGATAAAAAACTTTTTACGGTGTTATTAATACTGTCCTTACAAATATTAATCTCCAAAGCCAAGTTCCCAAGCTACATTAGATAAAAGTGTCCAAAACAGAGGATATTTTTATCAAATTTTGCCGATGTTTGAAGGCGAAATTACAAGGATTTAATACTAATGATAAAATTCGGTAGATAATATACATTGATAACCCTGACTGGACCCTGGTATTATGCCAACAATGAATTTTGTATACGCGCCTGTCTGGGTGATAAGAACAATTTGGAGATATGAAGTATTAATTGACTTATGTAATTTTTCTTTATCTAGTCTCTTAGTAGAAATTTAGATATAGATATGCTATTTTATGAGTTCGTAAATGTTGAATTATTGCTGTCGCGGAGAACCTAACGGGTTACCGGGGCTCCGGCTCGACGTGCAGGAGAAGGAACGGGGTGGTTTTAGTCAGTAAGAGTCAGACACTTAAAAAAAAGTGTTGAATTATTGCTAGGTATGGGAAATAATGTTACTATGAATATATTTGACGAGTTGACGGGTCTTTTAAATTAAACCTACTTAAGCTAGATTGAAGTTTTGTTCATGATGAAGAAGAATTGAGAATAACCCCACCTGGGGGCTTACTCTTGAAACCAATCTGAATGGCAATGCAAGATAACCAGTTTCAATGCACCCTGGTTTAAGAGTGACTTACCCGACATTATTGTTTGTCTTCAATCGACAACCACATTAAAAACTACATAACATCCATCACGCCTTTTATCACCAAAGGGGTAGGCAGATGTGTACATTATGCCACTATACAATGTAACACTTTTCACTATTTATGTTATGAGTTCCATGTAATAGGCGGTGAGCCTATTGCCATAATAATAATAAATGCCATATGTGCTGGGCACAATTCCAGACTCCGTGCTACTACTGAGAATTTATAAAAACCCAGTAATACTTTGCCCGACCCGGGAATCGAACCCGAGACCACTTGCCCGGCAGTCGCACTTGCGACCATTCGACCAACGAGGCAGTCTAAAAACTACTATTAACACAATTATATAGCAAATAGGTATTTTAAAATTAACCTATTTCCTTAATAGATAAAACAAAAGACTACGAGTACATTAAACAAGCAAATAATTAATGATCGCCCGATAAAGGCAAGTTACTTATGAAAGAAGGTATCTATTGTTCGACGATGAACTATGAACTCGTATCAAACAATTGTCGGTTCGTTTATCTCATAGACAGTTCGCAGTTCGGAACCAAAATACTATTGATATATAATATGGGAAATCCTTTGAATTGATATCTGATATAGTTTATAACAATTGCTGGTTTGTTATGGGATCTTGCTGGTTACCTATGTATCTCTTGTGGCATTATTTAGAATTTTGTTGATACATAATAGGTATTTTCATGAGTAATTAGTATTGTATGTTATCGTTATAATTATTAGTTACTGAATGATATTCTATGTATAGGAAAATCAAACTGTAGTGGATCGTAATTTGCCGCGGAGAACCTAACGGGTTGCCGGGGCTCCGGCTCGAAGTGCGAGTAGGAACGGGGTGGTTTTTAGTCAGTAAGAATCTGACACTCCCTCCCGCCTCACCCAGGCGGGAGAAGTAAATCAATGACTTTCCACCCTTAAAAAAAAAGTGTATCGTAATTTATTTGTTGATTTTAAAACTAATAAACTGGTAGTAGACAAAGAAATGATGAAATCGTGTGA